GTTTTGGAAGTTTGAAAATTGTGTTCATTATTACTAATTGCTTTTCTACGCAAAAAGATGCCAACATATCTCCTCTTTCATTTCGTATTCCCAGACCATATTTCCCTATGACATCTTCCTGTTCACCTTCACCAATCTTTGCATTAAAATCTCCCATGATAATATTAAGATCGTGTTTCTTTGTAGGTGCTAATATATATATATATATATATATATATATATATATATATATATATATATATATATATCCGGTTTTTTAGGCGTTACGCCCGTCCGGTAGGGATCTATGGAGGAGTATCACCGAGCCGCAAGCCCTTATCTCTTGCCGTACTGCTCCACCATAGGCCGATCAGAACCCAGCATATCCTAGTCTAAGCCGCAGATTCATCTAGAATTTTAAACTGCTGCGTTAGACTATTTGTTTTCTGTACACCGAGCTTGGGCTCGACCCACATCCACTAAACCATTCGACAGTGAAGCGAATGAGAGGCAGCCGCACAGCCCGCTGAGCTATCTGACCGACTTAGGTGCTAATACTTTTTCTAAATCATGATATAATTTTTCAATTTCTTCTTGTTCATAGTCTTGTGTGGGTGCATATACTTGTAATATGTTCACATTGATTGTTGTTGATTGTATTTGTATCATCAGTGTCCTGTCTGAAAATAGGACGACGTTTTTTACAGCTTCATCTGTTTCCTTCGACACAATTATTGCTACACCATTTTTGTGTTTTGAGCTGTCTTCTCCTGAATAGTATACAATGTGGTCATCTACAGTTACTTTTCCAGACCCCGGCCATCTCATTTCACATATTCCAAGGATACTTATATTTAGACGCTTCATTTCTTTAATGGTGTTATGAATTTTTCCTGGTTCGTACATGCTTCTTACATTCCATGTACCTATTTTTCTTTCTTTAGAAAATGTGTTCATGTTTCTAGCTGACCGGGAGATTCTTAGCACCCCTGCTCCATTTAAGGAGCGCCCGTTCTCGGGGCCGTTGTATTTATCAGCCATTTCCATGATTGTTTCTTGGGAAAATTAGGCTCTAGGTGGTTTCCCGTTGCCTTCCTAGATTGTGTAATAGAAGGAAATATAGTGACCCGTCTGCCCTTGGAAACCTAATAGCCATTCGGGGTCGGAAGAAACAAGAGTTAGCCAAGAGAGGCCGATAGGAAAGATTAAAGCACCTTTACCTTTCTCATATACACCAGAGAAGAACTCAGCAAAAAGATTAGCAATTTCGATATTGCCTTGTGTCCTTGTGTTAGCGAGATACATTTCTTGGGGGTAACTCAAAGATTTACAAAATCCGCCAATGTATCCCCAAAATTCCGCCTTGAACCTGGTCTAATGCTTCTCTGAATATAGACTTCAAATACAAATTGAAGATTAAGCCACAATTGATTGTAATGATAATTTCATTTTTGACTACAAAAAATTTAAGGTTTCAATTTCCACTGTGGAAATTATTCTCAAAAAAGATTATTTAATTTTTTTTTTTTTTTGAAAAGAGTGTATTACCATCAAAGTTGTTTACATGGTAAATTGAAATACTTGGCTGCTATTATAGGTATCAGCCATTGTTTGGCTGAAAAGATACAAGGGTGGATTTTTGCCCTATAAAACTTCAAATTCTGATTATTCTGCATTATTAATATGTAGTATAAGCGTTTGTGTGTAAGAGAGTGTTCATGTATTGTCTTGATTGAAAATAAGTGACTCAAAGTTTCTTCATCTTCACAACAAAAGACTCAAACATTCTGCAGATGAGTTTGCTCATGTTTTTCTTCATTCAGTAGTATGATGGCTAGTTTTTTGATTTTTCTCTTTTTATCTATCTAAATATTATTAGTTACAATAATGATATAGGAAAAAAAATAAGTCAACAACTGTACATAAAATTATTTATTAAAAGCATTTGGAATGTTTGCTATAAATTAATGTTATGTATTCAACAGTTGTTCTTCATCCATTTGTTTAAACTTTTCTTGAATATCTTCTGGCACTTCTATTCCTTTCAAATTATCTAGACCTATTTCTTCTTCCGTTCTAAAAATACAAAATTGATTAGATCAAGTGTATTCAAATATAAAGATTAATAAACATTAAAATATAAAGATATCTTCCTATGTGAATAAATACTTGTCATCAATACACTTTTTTACAATAAAGTTTTTGGGTTTACAAATATTTTTAACAATTACTGATCATGAATATGATCTACCAATAATAATGCTGAGTTTCTCTACTGATGCTCAGTTTTCACCAACTCCTATTAAACCTGAGGAACCAAAAGCCAATATCAAAAGATCAAAAAATACATATCTTGGTATTGATGTCATTAACTATATCATGCCAATAAATCTGCCTGAAATAGATAAAAATAACTTAAAGGGGATAATTGTGATACTCTTAAATAAATACCCACAATACCAACTCATTGTTTACTTCCCAACTTTCATGCTAATAACTCAATTATTTTACATCAACAAATGTTTTGTGGCCATTTGTACAGTATATATTCAGGACCACCAAGAATACCTAATGTTCAAGTTAAATTAATACTTCTCCATGTATTGTGCAGAATTTTTTGCAATATATCAAGCTCTATATGTGTTACCCTCAAAAATAAGCTTTATGAAATCATAAGAACCCCTCAGCCACTTGATAATAATTTATAAATATATAATAGATAATTTATAATAATAACATGGATAAAAAGATGTGTGGATTTATTGAAGGTTAAACTACAACAAAATCTTAAAACTAACTAACTAATATTGTTTTGAATTTATCTCAGTCTGTCTAAGATAACCAAATAACCTAATATCAAGTAACTAAGACAACATTGATGAATTCTCACCTTATTAAAATATCTACCAAGTTTTCACAAGCTATCAAAGCTTTTTTATCTTTTTCCCACTTGTGCAGTTCTCTTAATATCACATATGTATTTTTGTCCCTAATAAGTTCTCTGTTTGGTTTCTTTATGACCAATTGGGTTAGAGCTTCTAATAAAATGCACCTAAAAAAAGATGAAATATTTTTTTTGTGTGTGAAATAGGAAATTTATAAAAATGTACAGTGTAACATTATTATAAAGGTACTCAATATATTGTTTCCTCAATTTAAAAGCATAAAGCGAATACATTAACAATTAAAAACCTTTTTATAAAAATTTTCAACCATTGCAAAATATACATAAAAAGCATTATTCACCTCTATTTAACAAATTTTGTAAACTGTCTCTAACATATGCTATCAATTATTCACACTTAATTTCACAATAATTCATGTCTCTAAACAGTAGAATACTAAAATTTTATAATAAAATGTTCTTTTACTTATTAATAAGAATTGTAGACCAACCTAATATCTACAACAACAAAAAATCTCATTGTAACAAATTATTAAGTAAAATAAATATTTTCTAATTTTCTTCAGTTCCTTTATATTGATGTTACACTGTATTTTTTTGGTGAAAAAATTTAATGGTAATGTAAAAATTTAAAATGTAAATGCACTGTTAACTTACTATAAAGACTGTGTACCTCACCTTATGTCTGGATCATCTTCTCTAGTTTTATCCTCAGGCAAAAACTGCAATTCAAGAGGTAATTTATCATTATCTTCTTCATCAAATTCTTCACTCCCTGCTAATGGCAGTAATAGTCTTGGCAGAATATCAACATCTTCACCTAATAACCATTCATGAAAATCCTCTTCAAAGCAGCAATTCTTTAAAGTACCTATGACACCACCTCTTCTTACTAAAGAAGCTTGATATTCAGTGAATGGTAGGAGCCTCTGAACAACACATTTGTCTTTATCCAGAATAAATAACCGCACCCTATGACTTTGTGAAAGATTGGATAGAACTGGTCCTAAATAGTGTAATTTGGCACCACTTTTATTATATTCTATTTTTGTAAATATATTTATAATATCGTCGAATGTATGACCACTATCTTCTATATTATCAATTATTTTCTCTAGTAAGTGAGGAGGCCTTGATAAATTTGAAAGAATCATACAACATTGATCAGCTATTCGACTTGTAGTATTGAAAATACTACTTAAAACTTGTTTGACTATATGCGCAGGGGGTCTCTGCAGGGGTGGACAGTATTCCTTCGTGTCTAAATTAATAAGAGCTGTAGCGCCTTTGTCATTTGCAGAGATATTCACTAAACACATACTTGCATCTTTAGCTATAGGCACTGATTTATCTTCTAGAAGTGTAATAAGAGAGACAAGTAATTGTGGTTTCTCTATTAAGGATTTAAGACCTTCATCTGAACCTGTTAAGCCTAAAATTGTGATTCATGTACATTCAATATATAAATTATATATATAAATTAATTACCCAGAATAGTTTCAACAGCAATAGCTTTTAAATCTAATCTACTGCCAAGTTGAACAAATTTAATTAACTCTTCCAAGGAATCGTTCATATTAAAAATTAAAACTTTTATTAGCTAAAAAATCAAAACATACTACATAACCTACAATATTTCACGAGGCTCGTGAATGTGAAGTTAGCAAGCTATTGAAAAGTTTTCCACATCTTGTTCCACCCACATCCACACAAGTTGATTCCACAGGCACTGAAGAAACTGAAGAAAGTATTTTGATTTGATGGTATTTTGTGGTGGACATAGAAATTTTATTGACAGATATTATACGTCAGCGCGTCAGCACCACATATTTTATGTCATTTCTGATTTGATTGTCATTTGATTCAACACAAATTTAAATATGTTGGTCTCATATACTACAGTTTTACAGTTACAGTAACAGCTTTCTAATGTCACGTAGAAATGTCAAATCTGAGATTGAACGTGGCTGGCATTCGCTAATCTGTATATTATTTCTGTACTTTTATTTATCAGCAATCAATGACAAATCTGTGCAATTAGGGAGAATCTGTGATATGATATGAAATACATGTATCTATTTCCAAGTCAACAAACTCCTGTCGCAACAAAAACTGTAAGTAAAATAATGGGATTAAAAGGTTCCTCCACTAAAAAATATGCTAGGATTGTTTATTGATTTTTAAATGTTTTTCAGCTCAAAAATGGCTTTAAAAAAGGTAAAAGGAAATTTAGAGCGAATGTTTGATAAAAACTTAACCGACTTGGTAAGGGGGATAAGAAACAACAAGGAAAATGAGGTGTGTAAATACATTCTTATAAGGTTATGTCCAAAATATAGTTCATTCACTTTATTTTTATTCCAGGCCAAATATATTTCTGAATGTATGGAAGATATCAAGCAAGAACTCAGACAAGATAATTTGTCAGTCAAGAGTAATGCAATTGCTAAGCTTACATATGTGAGTACAGCTGTTCTATTTATATGTACCATCTAGATTTTAATTTCATTTGAAAACAGATGTAGAACATCAATAAAAATAAATGTTTTTCTATTACCAGATAAGTACTGTCAATAAAAGCTGTTAAGTCAAATAATGCAAGTTAATTACTTTTAATTGGATGTTATAGATTTTACTAAACATTTTTTTTTTATTTTAGTTAACAAAATTTAATTTTATAATAATTGCATTTTTAGTTGTAAATCATATTGTTCATGGCCACAACACCATGAGTGCCGCCAGCATTATTTTCAGGGAGGTGCATCTACAAATACAAATGTATAGCTATGTACTTTCTTTCTGGACAGTGGGTTTTCACCCATGCACAACAGCAACTTCAGCAGTAGTTCATTATTTATTTATCTTTTTTGATAGTTTTCTATTATTTTTCCTGATGTTCCTATATTTTGAAGTGCCTTTTTGCTTAAAAAAGGCACTTCAGGAAAATTATCATTTCATTTTTCATTATCCTAAAATATTTTGTTTGTAGATATATTTTTGCAATTTGCAAAAAGCCATTCACAAAACAGTTTAAAACATTTCATTTACACATAAAATGTTAATTGAACTTAAAATTAAATGATATGTTAATGACTATGGATTTTTAACTAAAAAGGGACATGGGTACTGAACAAGTTGGTTAGTAACTTTGAGTGACACAAGTGTGATTGTCACTTAGTATAAGGGCTCAGTATGTTCCCTTTTAGTTAAAAGTTCATAACAATATACTTATTGTCATTTAATTCTAAATTCAATCAACATTTTATATGTAAACTGAAGGTTTTTAAACCATTTTGTGTCTTCTTTGCAAATTGTTTATTTTTAATCCTTCTAAGTGAAGTGTTTCAACATGTTGACTACTATTTATGCTAATTCAGCAAATAGATTTATAAGGGATAATTCTGGATTTAAGCCATTAAAAAGTATATCTATAAACCAAATCAAAACTTTAGCTGGTTCCTTCTTTTCACAGCATTATACTCTTGTTAAGTGATAGCATAAGTATAATCCTTATAATTTTTCTTTTAGTTACAAATGTTGGGCTATGATATATCATGGGCTGGCTTTAACATAATAGAAGTGATGAGTTCAAGTAAATTTACCTTAAAACGAATTGGATACCTTGCTGCCAGCCAGTCATTTCATTGTGATTCAGAGGTAAATGTTATTTAATATAAGTGATGTTCTGTAAATTCTTAGTAAAAAGGTATTCATGAGATGCTTAAAAAATAACTAATATTTAATACCAAAAATTAATACTAAATATTGACTCTTAAATGATGAAAAATAAATCACTTGGTGCAAGGACTGAAGGAATTGGGTATAAAACTGGCCATGGTGCACTGGGTGTACACCATGGTGATCAAACCCTCAATTACATAGGATGTTATATTACATAGGTGTAGCAAGGTGGTGCCATGCATACTACTTCAACAGCAGCTATGAAGGCTCTACTAGGCCTGACTCCCTTGCAGGAGAAGCAAGATTGGGAGCCTAGAGAATAAAATAATCACTGAAACTTTACAATGGAGGGACTGGTCATATGAATCACAACAACTGTGGCAAAGGACATTTTTAATGAGAAAACGGATCACATGCCAAAAAAAATGCAATTTTAAGAATTCATATAGGGTATCTATTCTAGACAGGAATGTATGTAGAAACAAGGAGTACCATAACCAGCAGGGTAAGATCTGGTATACAGATAGATCCAAATCTACAGAGGGTGTAGGGGCAGGAATATACTCCAATAATTCAAGAATTAGCTAAAGCTTTGCTTTCAGGAGGAAATGCACTGTTTTTCAAGCCAAGATTTATGTGATACTGCAATGTCCAAAAGGAAGTAATGAGAGATCTCTTGAAAAACACCAGATCTATATATTGTCTGACAGTCAAGTAGTATTAAAGGCACAGGCATGTTAGGAATTGACATCTAGGCTGGTGTGGGACTGCATAAAAAAACTGAATGAACCGAGAGACCTGAACAAAGTTGAAATTGTGTGGGTACCAGGACATCAGGCATTGAAAGTAACAAAAAAGCAGATCAACTTGCAAAAAGAGGATCAAATAAATTATCTGTAACTCTGGGAGTACCAAAGGCTGCAGTTTCTTAAAACTGTAGAGGACTGGATAAGAGAGAATCGTGAGCGATATTGGGAGAGAATCCCAAAACAAACACATGGAAAAATCTTCATTTGTGGACCACATAGGAAAAGAACAGAGGAACTGCTTCGTATGTGTAGGAAAAAACAGAATAGTAATAGGAATGTTGATAGGACATGCACCTGTAAAAAAATTCCTGAATAAAATAGGCATTTACAATGAAGACCTTAACTGCAGACTATGTGGCAATGAACTCGAAACTGTAAAACATGTATTATGCAATTGTGAGGTTCTGAACTATAAAAGACAAAGCCTGTATGGGCGATCAAGAGGATGCCCTGGTATTTCTACAATAGACCAAGCAGAAGACCTGTACAAAGACTTCTTCTTCAAGTTTTGCTTCTATTGGAGATTGGAAATCATTCAGGCAATTATAATTTTGTCGGTTACAAGCCTAAATAGTTCAATTGAACTGCATCTAAACCATTTACGGAGACTGCATAGCTACAAGATTTTACGTCTTCCTATGCTTTTTCTACCTTTGATTTTACTTATTTACAAAGACTTCTACAGGATACAAAAATTCTAGACTTGGTTTATGAAACCACAATGGACAGCAAATACAAAAGGCTTTAGCTTCAGTGATAACAGAGATCTTTTAGATCAGATGGACTTAGGAACAAAAGGGCTGTACTGTAGAGATTTTTAGTTAAGTGAGCTGTGTGATGGTCTGTGATACAGTAGAATGATCTGAGTAATTAGCAGCTTATCAAAGAACTAAGAAATAAAATTTTCCAATTTTTAGATTGCTTTCCACTAAAAATTTTCAGAACAACCTTTCTTAATTAAACTGTTTATATGTTGGCATTGTTTCTCTGTTTTTTTTTTTTTTAGTTATTAATGCTAACCACAAATATGATAAGGAAAGAACTGAACTCACAGAATCAGTATGAAGCTGGGCTTGCACTGACATCTCTCAGTTGTTATATTAGTACTGATTTAGCCAGAGATTTATCAAATGATATCCTAACATTGGTAAGTGAATTATCTATTTAATTATTTATGAGTAACACAAAATATGGATTTAGATTTCTGTATGTAATGATAGTTTTTTTGTGGCCAATCCATGTATTTTCATTTACCTTTTACAAACTACTGTATTCTCTGAACATTTCTACTACATGTTTCAGTATAAAATGAACATAAGATTTGAGTCAATCAGTCTTTTCCTCATACAGCAAGCAAGACACTTCTTGTCTCTAGCATCTCATGTCACTAAACATTTCACAGTGACGGAAAACATGTAGGCAGTGTCTTAAATCATTTCATATTTCCTGTACCATGTTTCTTTCAAACTAGTTATACAAAGTAATACAAATTGAAAACATCCTGTCAATGTTGCTACAAATTTTTTTCATACAGGTTTGTCTTTTATTTGGTCCTAATTTTTTGTTATGACTATTTTTAGCTACTTTTAAATTTCTTTTCAAGTGGCATCATTTTTGATGCCACAGAATAGGTCACAAGGAATATTGGGCGGACACTGAAAAATTGGATCAAAAAATCAATCAACTGGGCTAATAATTGGCTGGCCACTAACCAACATCTGAACATTTGTCTTTGCCATATGCAAGAGTGGAGGGGGCTGATTGAATTAGAGGTGGGCTGATTGAATTAGAGGTGGGCTAAATATCACTACCCTGTAATTTGACAGCTGTGATTAGAAAATAACAATCACAACCTGTGAATAACAACAAAATATACTGTAACTGTGATTGTGATTTCGGTCATATTCTTTCTGTAGTTCTTGATTGCTAAAACGTGATATATCACATTCTCGTCTCAGTTGCAAAGTTGTGAAATGAGAGATATATAACAGGATAACAAGGAACCGGATAAAGGTAGTTGGCGCATCGGCAGTATTGTGAAGTCTCTTTTTAATGAGGAATGCAAATTCAAAGATAATATTATATCATCTTTGGAGGAATATGAACATCGCTAATTTAGTGTAATATTAGTATGTAATCAAATATTATTTTGAAGAAAATGAAAAGGGTATTTGGAGTTTTAGTTTATTGACTTTGTGTAACTCGTCATATTTTGCATAACTAGATTTAATAAAAAATACACATGCAAGTAAAATGTCCGATCATATTAGATATACCGAAATAATAACACATGTAGAATTTTATGATGGTCCACAATGGCAACACCTTTTTATTCGAAGTTTAACATACGACTATTTCGTTGCTATGTTAAATCACAATCACAGGTAAAAATCACAATGAATAAAAAAAATCATGATCACAGATTGCAGAATCACAGTTTAGCCCACCACTAGATTGAATACCATTTGTGATCCCATTCAATTATTAATGTTTTAGGATACATAATGTATAAATGGTTGAAACAGATGGTAAAACATACATTGCTGGTGGTCGCTTGTGTATAGATAAATGATGGAAAAACTTCTGTTAGGTGACAAAAATGTTACTGAGCTTGGTTTTCTCTTCATTGACTCTTAGATTGGTTTTTTTGTCACTATCAATTTATTGAAAGTTTTTTTACATTGGAGTCTGTGTTCCCACAATGTCAATGTCATCCGCGTATGTTCTTCTTTTTATGTAGACATGACTCTGTCTGTTTTTCAGTGTGCCTCTAGTTAGTTGTTGTTCCATTGTTTTCCTGGTCTTCCTACTGATCGTCTGCCTATTGGGGAACCGTCCCTTGTCGTCTTTACTACTTTATTTGTTGCTATTCGGCTTATATGATCGTTCCATTCTACTCTTCTATGTCTTGTCCACTTCTTGATGTTCTCCACCTTGCATCTACGTCATATATCTGTACTTCCATGTCTGTCCCATAGTGTATTGCCATTAATTTTTCTAAGTGTTTTCATCTCTGCTATTTCTAACATATTTTTGTCCTCTGTGTGTCAGTTCGTGTTTCTGCCGCGTATATCATTATTGGTCTGTTTGCTCTATTCACTTGATCTTCCACTTCAATTTCGATCTTTACGTAGACTTTCCGTAGTAAACTCCATCACTTGTTCTATTATCTGACCTTCCAGCTCCAATTTACATCTTAGTAATTTTTTTTATTTTATAATCGTCTCTTGCCGTCTTTACTACTCTATTTGTTGTCATTCGGCTTATATGATCGTTCCATTAGAGTAAAAATCTTATCTATGGCCGATCTATTTTTTCTGAATCCGGCTTTGTATTCTCCTATGAAATTTTCTACAAAAGGTGTTAGCCTCCTTAATAGGATGTTCGATAAGATTTTGTGTGTCGTAATAACTATGGAGATACCTCTGTAATTAGAACACTTGGTTTCGTCTGTCAATCAAAGAGCAAGTTCATGGTATTTAAATGGTCCAGAATTAACAGAGAATTAACAGGAGAAAAATCCATAATGTCCCCAAAAATCTAAATTCTGAATTGCATCTTCTCCCAATTATTCTTTATAAACTAGGCAATTACACTCAGTGGCCACCTTGGTGGCGGTGGGACAAAAAAATTATATGCCAATATTTACAATAATTATTTTCTTAGTTGTAAATTTTATTAATTAATAGAAATATTTTTCTGTACTTTTAGCTCAGTTCAACTAAACCTTACATAAGAAAAAAAGCTGTATTAATGATGTATAAAGTATTTTTAAAGTATCCAGATGCCTTGAGGCCTGCCTTTCCTAGGTTAAAGGAAAAATTAGAAGACCCAGATCCAGGTAAATATTTGTTTTAAGTCTTATTACGATGACTTTGATCCAATATTTTATGGAAATTTTTAAAAGAAACCAAAATCAAAAACCAACACTAGAAATAATATTTGAAGACGAGCAATTACTTTAAAGTTAAAGCAATTACTTTAACAAAAGGAATTATTAACTCTCAATAAAAAACAAAGATTTGGTTAATTTAGCATTAAGCGGGTATGTTCACAAAGCAGATAAAATGAGTGGCACTCAAATAAACTAACGTTTAACAATTCATTGGGTAGATGACAGCACATACACCATATTCTAATATTTTAATTTTCCCGAGATTTAATTATCTGAACAACGATATTGTTGTCAGCGATGCCAATTACTGGAACTTACGATCGGTACACAACAAAATTTGTTTAATTTACTGTTTGTATTTTGAGAACGATTTCCGAAGTGGAAATTTAAACGTCAATAAACGTATTTTTATCTTTAATTGTGGCTTATTCCCAGTTAAATAGTAATTAAAATGTACTTACTCTGTTACGTTGTTCTAAGATCTAAAGTGACGTTTAATAAATAGCAATAGGCTAATGGATAACTGCAAGATTTGCAAGACCAAGCCCAAGACTGGGAGTGCATTACCAAGCCCAGGTGTATTGGCGAGACCAAGTCTCGTCTTGTTCTTGCATTTTTGCAAGACAACACTACTTTCGTTGTAAATTTTACCTATAGATATCATTAAAATAGCAAGTTTACAGTTTCATAATTATAAGTTGAAGATAAAGTACATAATTATAAGTTGAAGATTTGTTTTGAAATAGTGACTGTACCTAAAAAGTATATAAATTTTTAACATTGTGACATACCACCTTAATAAATGCTGTGCAATGCGCTGTCTTTGTGATGCATCAAATAGTAAAAAATTATGGAATATAAGTTATAATATTGAATTTGTCATTTTTATTGTAGGTGTTCAATCAGCAGCAGTTAATGTTGTATGTGAACTAGCTAGAAAAAATCCGAAGAACTATTTGAGTCTTGCTCCAGTCTTCTTTAAACTAATGACGACAAGTACAAATAACTGGATGCTAATCAAAATTATTAAACTAGTAAGTATTGTTTGCATTTTATTCAGTTTTTTCGTTCTATCAAGGTATTTGATGAATATTTTTTTTAATACTGTTAAGAGAAACAAAAACGATATTACTTTTGTCTGTTATTTAAATAAAATTTGTAAAGATTACTAAAATTTATTAATCTTGTACACAATATTCAATGTTTGGATATATCCAGTAAGAAATAAAGTGAGTGCTGTGTTTGATTTTTTCTTCACTAGTGGTGTAGGTGGTTTGTAGCTGTTCCTATTAGTAATTAAATTTATTCCTCTTTTAGCTTTTGATCTGGATCCATTCTACTTCTACATAGTTAATTCTTTAAACCTTGAATTTGTTTTAAAATTGTACGAGAGAATATTAAGTATATATAATGTAGTCATTTCTAATTTAACCAAACTAGTTTCATTTTTAATAATTCTTCATACTTTTGTAGTCTTCTTGTTTTTGTTCTTCGTTTTGTGATTTTCTGTTTTTCATTTTTTGATTGTTATTTGTAGTACCTCTTCACTAGTTAGGTGGTCCATTATTCGAGAGGTCCTATTATTAGGTGGTATTTAGTCATTCGAGATTTTTTCACAACTTTTTCTGTATATATTGAAAATAAAACGAAGAAATAAAACGAAGATGTAAGGCCGACAAAAAACAGTACTATCAAAGTATATGCAAAGAAATCGAGAGACATGGTCAGAATAATCAGCCGAGAGATATATTTAGAAAAATACGCTACCTGACAAGAGACTTCAGAGCCAGAACTTGGGCCATTGAAGATAACACTGGAACCCTGAGAACAAACAGAGAAGACATAGCAGAGACATGGAGATCGTATTGCAGGGACCTATATAAAGATGATCAACGCCAAGAGCTTGTTAGCCAAATCTCTGACGAGGTGGAAGAAGAACCTGATATACTCGAAAATGAAGTAAGACAGGCTATCAACAAACTCAAATATAACAAAGCACCAGGTCCAGATATGATAACAGCAGAAATGTTTAAAGCCACAGAAGAAACCGGCGTTAAGTTACTTCATCTACTCTGTAACCAAATATGGCATTCCAAACAATGGCCTGAAGACTGGACAAAATCTACAATAACGACCATACATAAAAAAGGCAGCTTCCATAAATGCGACAATTATAGAACTATCTCTCTTATATCCCATGCTAGCAAGATAATGCTACATATAATCAATGAGAGACTGAAAACATTCCTTCAAAGAGAAATTCCACAAGAGCAAACTGGATTTACCAAAGGTAGAGGCACTCGAGAACACCTGCTGAATATAAGACAGATAATCGAGAAATCTAGGGAATTCAACATCCCACTATACATCTGTTTTATAGATTACCGTAAAGCGTTCGACAGGGTCAAGTGGAGACACTTGGGCGAATACTAAAAGAAGTAGGCGTACCACAACATCTAATTACGCTTATAACCGAACTATATGAACACACTACTGAATCAGTTAAAGTACTTGACACACTTTCGAACGAATTTCATCCAGAACGGGGTGTCAGACAAGGATGTATACTATCTCCACAATTATTCAACATATATGGGGAGTATATTATGCGAAGAGCACTTGAAGGATGGGAAAAGGGCATCTCAATAAATGGTCATAAACTAAACAACCTACGTTTCGCAGATGACACAGCCCTTCTTGCAAATAGTCAAGCAGAGCTGATAGAACTTATACAACTGATCGAAAACGAAAGTCAAATATTTGGTCTGCAATTAAACATATCAAAGACAAAGATCATGATAGTGGATAGACTACACAACAATCATCCACACATAACCACAATTGACCGGTTCGAGGTTGTGAGCTCATACTTATATCTGGGATCATTAATCACAAACACAGGGTCATTACAAGAAGAGATTAAACGTAGATCTGATCTAGCAAAAGTTGCCACAGCAAAAATGACCAAAATATGGAAGGACTGTCAAATTTCAAGAGCGATAAAGATGAGGTTGATCAACTGCTTAATATTCCCAATACTGACCTACGGATGTGAATCTTGGACTCTGAGACAATCGGAGAGAAGAAAGATAGACGCTACTGAAATGTTCTGTTGGAGACGAATGTTACGAATTCCTTGGACCGACCGCAGAACAAATAATTCAATTTTAAGAGAGCTAAAAGTTAGCCAACGACTCTCTAGTAAAGTCCATCTCCAACAATTAAAATATTTTGGGCATGTTATAAGAGCAAACACAGAAAACATGGAAAGACTCATAATACAAGGAAAGGCCGAAGATCACGAGGAAGATCCCCAACAAGATGGATAGATCAAATTACAGGAATATGCCAAAGGCCTATGCATGAATTAAAAGAAATGACCAGAGACAGAGATCTCTGGAGACGGACAATACACGACATCACGTCGACCACTACACTCCCCCTGGGGGGTCAGGATTGAAGAGAGAGAGATTGAAAATAAACAAATAATCCTGTAAATTGGCCTTTATTTTACAAACATACACAACAGAAATAGATTTGAACTTGAAAACATAAGTGTAAAAAATTCTTTTTGACGCTGCAAAGTGCGCCAAAATTCACTTCGAACTGAACACAATTATTTTGCCTCTTTGTTTTTCCATATAACGCTGGTACAGTAAAATTATCACTATGTCTTGCAATAAAACATTAGCAACTTCAGGAACGTTTGGATAAAAGAACTTATTCGATTTATTGTTTTGCCAACAAAATATTTTACTGACTTTTTGCTGACGAAATTTACAAGAACATTATTAATGACTGCAAGTCTATCCAGTTCTTCGAATCCTGTTATTGGAGCATCAAGGTCGGCATCATATTCGGATGAGCTGTTCAGGAATTCTGCTTGGTCATTTAAAGAACTATTTTCGGATTCGATAAATCGTTTTTTTGCTGTCTTAGCTCTAGCTTTGCGTTTTTCGTCATTCTTTGTTTAAAGTTTAAATTTTTTTGGAATGTCTCTTGGAATGAAACTTTTGTCGTGTTTTCTGTTCTGCATTCGTTTTCTTGGAGCGGCTTTGAGATAGGTTCGTAACTCTTAAGGGGTTGAAAACGATTTTGTTGTCATGACGGTTGCTTCAGAATCATGGTCAATAGTAAGTGTTTTTATCACAGCATCAATATTAGAAGTAATATCCTTTTCTCCACTTTTGTCATTTGTGCAGGAATCTGAAACTAGAGATTCGACAGTGCCATTTGAAGATGTTGACTGTTGAAAATGGTGACAGGTCAATCTGTGACGGAACTAGGAAAAAAATCTTCTTCTGCAAAAACACCCCGATCATAAGAGAAAAATACCCGATTTGCGGAATCCTGCTGTTATATTAATTGGGATCATTGAATGCTGAAATTCACTCGTAATACATTCTGGTATATCTTATATGGTCATTGTAACTCCGGGGTGGTGCATGATCCAAGAGTCGGCAGGGCTGTTATAGTGTGCCATAAATGAAAAATAACCGCCAACATCTAATCGTTATAGTTTATTACTGCAATGGTCGGAAAGGTTAAAATAGTCACTCCATTGGATTTGGTTAAATCCACACATTCAATTGAAAGATGACTTTCGTGGTTATCGAACAACAGGAATGTTGGATTTTCAATTGAGGAATTTGTATGGTTTATGAAATGATGCATAACTTTCACAAACAAATCGCTGTTCATACAGCCCGAAATGTTACAAGTTCCAAAATATCAGTTGGCGCATTACGAAGCATATACACTTTAAAATGAGTCCTAGGAAATATAATAGCTGGTGGAATCGTGTTTCCTGAAGCACTTATAAAGCAGCAGGTCTTTACTAAAGAATCTCTTTCGGCACTAATTACTTGACTCACTTGTTTAACTTCTTTGCAGGCGATCACTTCTCTTGGTTTCTGCACAGTTGTCGTCCCAGTTTCATTTAGATTACATATTCTAGCACGTGAGAGACTACATCCTTCTGGTTGTCTGATGCTCAAGTTAGATGATCGTTTTAAAAATTCTCTCATTCATGACATGATAATCAGCAGGTTGTCTAAAATTATCTACTGAACTTAAAAAAGTTATAATACGGGTACCAGCTACATCTGAAAACTACGATAGATATATAGTTGCGATAATATCAACTGCAAAAAAGTTGGGGTACCAAGGGGTTGCCGCAAAGAGTATATCCCGGGATGGAATAATGAATGTGAAGAACTTTAGAATGAGTATATAGTGACCCAGACGTAGCTAATGACCCATTACAAACATTAAATGAAGTTTGGAAAGATAACTAGATAAAATTAATGGAGAAAATAGTCATTAAAAAGTCGAGCAGACAATCTTGGAACCTACTTAGAAGACTAGGGGGCGTGCTCCGTCCGTTCGAAAACCCCACTGGTTATACCTCGACCAAATGGCGAGCAGAATAGTGACTCTATCTAAGGCTCAACGTGATAAAGAACACACAAAATATATAAAAAAGAAACTCAGTAATTCACGCCAAACAGGCCGATATTAGTAAGAACTCTCCCACGAAAACTGGCAAGGCGCCTGGTGTTGACGGGATACATCCTGAGTTTCTACTACAATGTGGCCAAAGGACAAGGTTGGTTCACTACACCACTATCCCAGGCGGAGTTATTTTTTTATAGTATTTCTTTTCTAGAAATTCTTTCAGACACTTATTACGAAAATATAGTTCGTAGTACTTGGTAAGTCGACTTCTTTTTTATTAACAATTTTAAACGTACCAGTTTGTTCGGGTCCTCAGTCCCCAGCAAAAGAATTATTTGTAAATAGCAGGTATTTGTGTTCCATTGCCAGAAAATAAATTTATGTAATTTTTACAATAAAACTAAGAGTATACGCGTGCAAATGAATATAAACCAACCTTTATTGATAATGTTTTATTATAAATGCAATAAATGAATAATGTATTTTCCTTATACGCATTCTGTTCTATTTTTCCTAACACCTAGGTAGATCGTGTATTCATTCGTGATCCACATCGTCCAAACACTTTCTTACTTTT